ATTACAGGTATATAATCTATACTATCTACACTATAGTAATAAAGAGTTACACACACTACTTTGTGACGTAAGATGTCAGCAATTACACCATATTTGTGAATAATTCTTTTTTTAATAAAAAGCCCTACACTTGCGTCACGCTTTAGACTATATATTTTAACGCTATTAAACTTAGGGGGTAAATGTTTTGGGTAATACCCTAATGTGGGAAAGAGACCATAAGTTGCTGCCAACATCAAGGAAGCAAGATTGTCAAGGTTTGTCATGTCATGTCAATTTAAACAATAAAGTAACCAAACTAATATTACAAATGCGAAAGTTTAGATGTATGAATGTTTGTTAGAGTTTGTAGCCTAAACGGATTTCGGTGTAATTTGGCATAGAAGTAGAGGATAGACTGGGAGAAAACATAGGCTACTCAGTTTTGTTTTTTTTTTTTTTAATTCCACGGGGACGGATTCGCGAGCGAAACCTAGTGTTTTTATAATTTCATGGTTCGCACGGGAACAGTTAGTAATAAATATACGTGTTTTTCAGGCATCAGATAAGCAGCACGAGCTGGGTCAGCTGCACGAGCTGATACAGAACAGCAGTTCCACGCTGCAGCAGCAGCTGAAGAGTGTGCGCAGGAGACTGCCTCCTGGCGCCAGGCTGGATAATGTGCCGTTGGACCTGCAGGTAACTTTGATAAACTCCGACTCGAAGGACCATCCTCTTCCTGTAGGGTCGTCGTGCGCCGTCTGTCATTCCCTTGATCTTGTCACCTTTCACGCAATACATCCATCTCTTTCTATGTCTACCTGTACTGTTCACTCTTGACTAAAGTTCTTGTTACATGCGATTCATGTCTCATAACATGCCCCCATGCTAACTTTTTACTCCTTAAGGACTATAACAGTATAAATAATATGTTCAGAATCTATACTATTATAATAAAGCGTAAACACACACTTCTTTGTTGCCTAAGATGTCAGCAATTACAACATATTTTTGAATACTCTTTTTAATAAAAATCCCTACACTTACGTCACGCTTTAGGCTATATATTTTCACGCCATTAAACTTAGAGGTGTATATTTTGGATAAAAACCCTAATGTGGGAAAGAGACCATAAGTTGCTGCCAACATTAAGGAAGCAAGGTTGCCATGATTTGTCATCGTCATGTCATTTTGACATTTGCAATTGATAATTTAACACATGTAAATAATAAAATAAAATTTTCATAATTATATGCGGACGAAGTCGCACGGGAACAGCTAGTATTTTAATAGTTTTTCATTTTCGGCTTTCACGAGGTTCTCGTCATGTGGGATAGTGATATCGACTAACATTACGCAACTCTTAGACCGATCTATTATTACTATGTCAGGTCTATTGGCAGTAGTCCTGTCCGTAATAATAGATCGATCCCAGTAGAGCGTGTTACGGTTACTTTCCAGAACTGGTGAAGGCTAATATTGGTAATATGGTACCTCAGATTCTAGAAGAGCATATTTAAGGGCAAGTTGCTGATGGATAATCTTGGCTTGGTTATGTCTATGCAAGTATGCACCGTCCGCAAGGCGAGTACAGGAAACGATATGTCTAATAGACTCACCGGGCCGACGACATGCCCGACAAATGTCGTACCATCCTTTAGGATATGTTTCCGGTAGTTATTCGTTACGATGACCTCGTCCAATTGCAAAAACAAAACCTTCAGCCTCCCCAAAGAGGTTACTGAAGCGTTGCCAAGCCAGGGAGGATAATTGGTCCACATTTAAGGCCCGATGGAACCTACCGTGTAAGCCTTGCTTTTCCTATGCGGTCTGAGACACTTAATAACTCCAACCTCCAAATAGCCAATATGCATATGACGCCGAATTGTACAAAACTTTTTTTAAGTATACTTTATTACTATAAAAACATTCCTGCAAAGAATTTTTTTAAATATAATGTGATTTGGTGGCAAAATTTAATAATTAAAAAGTGTATTTTTTCAAATTCCCTCGCTAAGTTCTAAAACGCACACTATTGGTCGAAGCAAGTGGCTTATCTAATATGGCGTCGCTGTGTTGTCAATACACAGTTCACTTACGTTAGTTTATATAGAAATACACTCTTGAAGTATTTTACTGTAAACTCGATATCAAAACCAACTTTAAAATAAAAAAATTAATGAATAGAATTATTAATTACCACTTATTTGTAACAGGAATAATAAAAAGGAATTGATTTTTGACTTTTTGACCTTGAGAAACTTTGTTGTGTTTTACGTCGAAGTGACATCTGAGCGTATGTTATGAATGGAATAGACGATTGACGTCAATCGTCTCATGACAACTCCGGTCGCGTTTTAGTCGCTCAAAATTGGTCGTAATTTTATTTTATTATTTTTAGCTGAATGGTTGAATATTTTCGCGTCAATTTTTTTTGTGGTTATTTCATAACAAGTAGAATCGTTTAAAAAAAGAAAAAAAATACATGCATGTTCCCATTCCACATATTATTATCATTATGTAGCGGGGGGTGCGGGGAGAGCGTTACGTGGAC